GGACCCCAGCAGGGAATAGAGTTAACAATGAGTCTGGAAATGCACACAAAAGACTGGTCTTGTTTGGGCCTGCTCTTTGGTAAGAAGTCCTGGCCTCTGGGCTGAGATTCAGAACACAAATTTAGAGGAAGGAATGAAAACCTTCAACTGAAGCACATGGGAATACTTTGTCTCCAAAAGTGCTATTTACAAAGAAACTGAATCCAGCTGAGAGCTTGCTATGGAAGACCTGCAGCCCTGTGTGTGTGTGTGTGTGTGTGTGTGTGTGTGTGTGTGTGTGTGTGTATCTGTGTGTGTCTGTGTGTGGGTGGGGGGGACTGGAAAGCAGGCAGAGCTGGTTTCTGCTTTTTCAGAACAGAATGGGCTTGGTGATGGGAAGAGCCCTGGATCTGGGGGAAGGACCCTGGATCTGGGGGAAGGGCCCTGGATGTGGGGGAAGGGCCCTGGATCTGGGGGAAGGGCCCTGGATGTGGGGGAAGGGCCCTGGATGTGGGGGAAGGGCCTTGGATAAGCAGGAAGGCTGGGAAGGGGGCAGCAGGGGAAGCAGAGTAGACCCTCACAGGCTATGGTGGGAGTTCCTGTCAATTGGTAATTCATCTCTGAAGGAACGGGATGGAGTTCCTGCCACACTTAGCCCGTGTGCCTTTTGTCATCAAATTGTCCCAGACTGGCTGTGAAGCACCTACATGGAGGCAGAGAAAGAATAGCCAAAGCATCAAAGTTTGGGTTGTGCTGGAGTCATTTCGGTCACCAGCCTGGCTTAGATAAGCCACTGAGTCTCTACGGGAGGTAACTTTGTCATGTATGGAAGCCCATCTGCTTCACTCCACTGCTCACTCAGTCATTTATTGTGACTTTCCTTGTGCCAGGAACTTGGGAAGAGTGCTTAGTGAGTGGTCCTCTACCCTGAAAGGGCCAGCATCTCTGTTAGGAAAAATCAAAGGAAAGGAACAGGACAAAGGGTTTATATGTCCTGGCTACCCTGGTAGGTGTTAGGGTTTCACCGCAGAAGGAAGGGTTCCTTGGCGGATGGGAGCCAAGGAATACCGCAAAGTCCCACCATGCAACAGGCCTCATACCTCATAGGAGGGCTTTATGGGGTTGGGGGTGGGAGGCAGCAGGCTGCCTCTGAGCAAGGGAGGAAGGGAAAAAGAGGGTGGGAAGAGAAGGCATTGACTTTTCATAAAGGGGTGTGGCGCATGCGCACAGGGAAAAACCCTGAGCGTCACATCAGTGGAAACATGTCACAGTTTGTCAACTGGTGATGATGAGGCCACTGTTGCTGGGCTACTGAAGGTGGCCTCAAGGGGGGAGGGGTCCGACATTCTTCCCTCTTGCTCATTATAAAAGGTGAGGAGTTATTTAGGCGTGACTGATGAGGCAGGGTTGGGGGCACCATGCTCTTTAGACTGTTGTCTGGGGGCATCAGCATCTTTGGGGCACTGTTGATCCTTACCATCAAAGCATATTCAGTAGTCATGAGTCTCTGGTTCTGTGGCTAGCTCTTGGTGGTTGTCTTAGTTAGGGTTTCTGTTGCTGTGAAGAGACACCATGACCACAGCAACTCTTACAAAGGAAAACATTTAATGGGGCTCACTTACAGCTTTAGAGGTTTAGTCCATTATCATCATGGCAGGAAACTTGGTGGCGTGCAGGTAGACGTGGTGCTAGAGAAGGAGATGAGAGTTCTTACATCTTGATCCGTAGGCAGCAGGAGGAGTCTGTGTGTCACACTGGGTGTAGCTTGAGCATAGAAGACCTCAAAGCCCACCTCCACAGTGACACACCTCCTCCAACAAAGCCACCCCTACTCCAACAAGGCCACACCTCCTAATAGTGCTACTGCCTATGCTACTGCCTATGGGCCAAGCACTCATACACATGAGTCTATTGGGGGTCATACCTATTTAAATCACCACAGTAGTCCTGTAACAACAACTGATGAATTATTTGATTGGAGATTTTTTTGAATGTGTCATTGAAGAAATGGTGAGAAGATATTGATAAAGCAGAATGCAATTAGTAGAGGCAGGAAAACAAGAAGCAGGGGTGTCAGGAAGGGAAGTATCCTTTTCCATGTGGGGTTCTCAAAGGCCCAGAGGCTAGAGGCATCCTGTTTCCTCACTTTTTTTTTTTGTTGTTGTTGTTTTGAGACAGGGTTTCTCTGTGTAGCTTTGCGCCTTTCCTGGAATTCGCCTTGTAGACCAGGCTGGCCTGAAACTCACAGAGATCTGCCTGCTTCTGCCTCTCGAGTGCTGAGATTAAAGGCGTGCGCCACCACGGCCTGGCTCTGTTTCCCCACCTTTTACAACAAACAAGAGAGGAGAATATTAGAAATCAGGCACTCTTGCAGCCAGCCCTCAGCAACACAATGCCAGCAGCACCAGCCACCAACATGCATAGCCTTTAAAAGCCTTTGCATCACACATCATGGCCTGTTCTCTCTCTCTCTCTCTCTCTCTCTCTCTCTCTCTCTCTCTCTCTCTCTCTCTCTCATCCCCACTCTGAGATGGCCTTTCGCTCCCCCCAATATATCTTATTGTGTGAGATCTATTACTTGGTGTAATCTTTGCAGTATAACTTGGCCCTGACCTGACAAAGTACTTTTGCCACATATACCCTAAAAACAGGCGCTTTAAAAATATTTAGCATTTAAATGTCTCAAAAAAGTGACTTCACAAGTATTATTATTTTCCTCTCAAGTGGTGGTGGTGAGGCTCAGAGGAGGCTAGACAGCCTGTCCAGGGTGGTAGCTTTGGTAAATGGTTAACTTTAGTGGTTTTGTTTGTTTGTTATTGGCTGGTGTCAGGAGATCAATCTTAGGGTCTCCAACATGCCAGCCAATTGCTCTACCACTGAGTTACAACTACACCCCTCTTTTTTTCTATTTTATGACAAAGTCTCCTTAATTAATCCAGGCTGGCCTTGAACTCACTTTGAAGCTCAGGCCAACCTAGAACTTGAAATCCTTTATTCTTAGTTTCCTGTGTAGCTGAATTATCAGCTTTACCATCAAGCACCATTGTGGGTCACAGTTTTCAGTCAGGTCTGTCTTCCTCAAAGCTGTGATCTTTCCAACATTCCCCATTGATCATGGAAAAGAGCCCCAGAAACCATGCACTCTGAGTGCAGTTGATGACCAGTTTCCATTAGTGCCCGGGGGAAATTCAGGATATTTAAAAATCATTGCAAACATATTATTTTCGGTTGTAGACAAAATCTGAGGGTGTGAAATTGCAGAGGTGGCCTTCTCCTTTGAGAGTCTTTTCCACTAGCTGTGTAGAATGTGCCAACCGTTAGCTTATCTGTTGTCTACCCCTGGCGAGGTAGAAGGGTTAATGAAATCAATCTTGTCACTTTGAAAAGATGAGCTGGTTGACCCAGCAGCAAATGTCCATAGCCCGACAAGGCAAAGGGCTGGGGTAGCTGATACTGAGTCTAAAGAGCTTGAAGTCATTAGACCATGGGTCTGCCTCCTACTCTTTTTCAATTCATCCTCAAAATATGTACGTCTGGGCAATAGTGAGCCATTGTTCCTGTAAGGCTGATTCTGCTCCTTGGAAAGATGTCAATGCCCAAAGCACACAGGACGGCTAAAGCAAAAGGTGTTTTAAATGTCTAGGATCACATAGGACTACAGCCAGATCTCTACATGGCCAACACCATCTTGGAGGTACTAGATTCATAAGCACCTACCAAAAACAATTTAAAGCAAAATATGGTTGTGCATGCCTGTAAGTCCAATACTCAGGAGATGAGGCATGATATCCTTGAGGAATCAGGACCAATAACTGAGGACTCTCAGTGCTTGTTTGTTTATAGTCTATCTTTAAGCCTAGACCTTTTGCTCTAATTGCTGTTTGCTTCTTGCCTGTATTTGGAGAATGAGAGACTGAGACCTAACAGCATGTGAATTTCTCTGTTGGCTTTCATGCAGCAGTGTACCTGGCATAGGTAATGTGCCTGTGGAATCTGTTCCATGCTTAACACATGGTATAGATAATATGCTTAAGGTAGTGTGGGAACTTGACTGGTCCTGATTGGCAGGTCTCGTCTAACATTATTATTATTCTGGGTGTATCTATGGCAGTATTTCTGGATGAGAGTCACAGTTGAATCCACAGACTGAGATAGGCAGATGATCATCTGAAGTAAGCAGGCCTCATCCAATCTAGTCAGTGGCAGCTTGAGTATAATAAAATGGTTAACCTTCTTTGAGCAAAGTGGAAGTCCCCTGACTCTACTGTTTTCTAACTGGGACATGATTCTTTTTCCAGCCTTTGTAGCCTAGAACTGTGTCATTACCTTTCTTTTATCATGTCAACTACAGATTTGGGGACTCATTTAGTACATCATCATGTGAACAAATTCCTTATAATCACCTGTCTTGATAAAAAGACAGATGGGTGGATAGATATATCAGTAGACAGATATACAGATGAGAAAACATACATACAGATGGAAGGATGGGTACACACAGAAATGTACACATAGAAACAAAATTCAGATGTTTGGATGGAAATATAGATAGATAGTATTTAGACAGATGGACAGATAAGACCAGTAGATAACCAAATACAATAGATAACCAAATGGATAAATGACAGATAGATAAGCAGGTAGATAAGCATATAGACATACCTAAGTAGATGATAGATAAGTGAATAGATGGATGTACTGATGGAGATACATATGTATATATACATATTTAACTGTATAAATACAGATATAGAGAGAGATATTGAGAGAGAGAAAGAAAAATCAAGCTTTATAAATTCTTTTCCTTTGCTGGTAATGCTAATTGAAATAAAATTGGAGTCAACAACAACAAGAATATCTTATTACTTCTGTCTTTGGAAGGGTCTTGACAAATACAAGAACAATGCATCCCATCAAGAAGTTTGCCCCATATGACATAGAACAACATTGTAATCTATTGTTCTAGAACTTTCTATGGAGTAAGAAGAGTTTTGTCATAATGTAGTGGTTCCCAAATCTTGTTCCACAGGGGTCACCAGGGGTGTTAAAATGCCAGTTCTCTTCTGGGGCAGGCGTGTTCCCTGGTGGGAGGACTGTACTCCATTGGACGTCCCCACACTCATGAGTATGTGGGCAGCACAAATTGAAGGTGGTGGGTTATTTTACATTATTTTTAAAAAGATGACAAGAAGATGGGATGGAGTTGAGTGCTCGAAGGTGGATCTAGGAGGGGTTAATGAGGGTAATGGGGACTGATCAAAATGATTAATGATCAAAAGCATTAGTAAAACACTGTCTAAAAAGGAAGTAAGAAAGTATCACTGGCCAGGTTGCACCCCAGTCCAGTGTCATCAGCCTGAGCCCGAGTTTGCATGTCGGGTATCTCACCAAAGTCCATGTGTTTAAAGCACCAAGTAGTGCTACTGGGAGCTTTTGTGATCTTAATAGGTGGAGCTACTGTCGGTGGATGTGTCCACAGCATTGACATAGTTTAAAGATTCTCAGGTGATTCCAATTTGCAGAGAATCATAGGAACCACTGTCCTTGAGGTAGCCTTTGGAGGCTATAGGCAACCTTAATGACTTCAGGTATATAACTGAATTTCAACTACCATATCCCAGGAAATGTTTCATCCTTTGGTATACTGATATAACTGTTGGATATATATATGGATAGTGATAATTTCTGTGAATTGAGTATCTACTATATTCTAGGCTCCCATGTAAGACTCATAACACATTAGCTCTTTGATCTCACTTTGTGGATGAGTTACTAAGAACTGGGGGATGACTTTTCTGAATCCAAGAGTATAGAAAGAATTAGGATTGGAGCCAGGTTAGAGCGTGCACCTAACCATCCACTGCACTGTGGAGTACTGCGTCTCTGGGTTGCTCCCCCTCACAATTCAGGGAGTAATACTGAGGTGTGAAGGTACACTGGGTCCCATTCCTCTGCAGAGAACACTAATACTGCCTTGAAACTTCTAGATACCCTACCTTCCTTTCTGGATGTACATTGTAGGTTTGATTCATGTTTTATGATGTGGTCTCATTGCTTCACGTTGCCTTCCATCAAGCTTAGGACTCAAAGAGATCATGGTTGTCTCACTTCTGAAATCCTCTTTCGATGCCTGGACTAGGGCAGGTTCACTCAATACCGCACATTAATTTGTATCCAGGCATCTGGTGAGTTGTTCCTCCTGAATGTGTGTCCATGGGATGCACGTGACATAAGCTTGTAGAACTGAGAGAGGAGTATGCAGTGGAGACTGACTAACTCTTACAGTTGTGTGGTGACCACAGCTGGCCCACTGTCCAGATGGCCCTTTCTGTTGCCTCACCTTTGAGCTGCTTCTTTGCCCAGCGAGGTCCTTGTTCTCCCGTCAGCCCACAGCTGAGGTGAATGGACACAGCTGCTGCTCTTACACATCAGGGCAGGTGGTAAGAAAGTACTTGGGGCTTCGCGTTCTTAGAGAATGGATGAGCTCCGGGAAGGAGTCACGGGAGGACAGATAACTCTCGGTTTTGTTTGCATTTTAGAAATGGATTCAATGTCTTCTAATCATGCCAGAAGGTTTGTTTAAATTGTTCTGGGTCTTAACTTTTTCATATAGTCTGGTTTTGATCACAGTCTTTCCCCTTCCCCAACTCCTCCCAGAGCCTCCCCACCTCCGTGTGTGTGTGTGTGTGTGTGTGTGTGTGTGTGTGTGTGTGTGTATGTGATGTGATGTGATGTGATGTGATGTGATGTGATGTGATGTGATGAAGTTTTGTGTGAGACATTACTATAAGTGATTATGTATGAACTTGAGTGTCTTCTCTCCTGGTGTTTGGATTCAAGTCCCAGGCATAGACCCTTCTCTCTTGGCCTACCTGCCCCACACATAGTAGGTTACTTAGTGGCATAGATTATTTTACTGCTATTCTTACAAACTTTTAGGATCCTGCTTCATTCTTCTGGGTTCACATTCCTTTGTGTGATCTAGTCCAGGGCCCCACACCTGTGTGCTGTTCTTACTTCCCCAGAAAGAGCAGAGACATAAGCACCAGAGCCAAGTTTAACTGAGAATTCCTCTCACATTGTATTTTGGGAGTAAAAGAATGTTATAGAGCATTCTTTCTATAACAGAGAAGGCAGGACTCACCCTCCTCAGCACCTGCTTACATCTGGAGTGTCTCCATTCTCCAGTGAGAACACTGCTGGAGTACTCATGACTATTACTGCTCATCCAAAGGGACAAGCCTGTGGGTGCCCCTAACAAAGCCAAACTCAACTGGCACATGTATGTACTCAAGCAATGTTTGCTGGATAAGGGGAGTTGAAGACAAAGGGCCCCTTTGGAGGGAAGTGTTATAATACAGAAATAATAGGCTCTGAAGAGCCATCATTTCATTTAATAAAAATATTAAAACTAAAATAAAATTTTGTTATTATTTTATTAAACTAGTTTCTTTACAGATTTCGAGTTTCTAAAGCAAAAGCGTAACTTTGCTGTGATCTCATCATCTTGTATAAATGAACACGATTGATCTTAAATGGCAGCTTTTTTTTTAACAAAAGCTTTAAAAGCAAAGCCAAGGTCTGAGTCCTTGTGGAGGAGCAGCTGCTGGGTCCAGGGCTGGTGACAGTGGTACTTTTGTGAGCTTGGGAAACTTAGCAGTGCATGAGTTCTATCCAACTTCCAGTGCAAGAACTTGGTCTTGTCTGTCATCTGTCTGCCTGTCTGTCTGTCTGTCTGTCTCTGTGTGTGTGTGTGTGTTCTTGTGGGTACACATGCACATGTGTTCATGCATGTAGACATTAGAGGATGTCCTTGCCTATTGTTTCTTAGATGCTATCCACATTGATTTTTGAGACAGAGTCTCTCATTGGCCTGGAGCCTGTCATGTTGGCTATCCTGGCTGGCTAGAAATCCCCAGGGATCTGCCTGTCTCTATATCCCCAGTGCTTGGATTGCAAGGGAATGCTACCATGCCAATTTATGCCCATGGTTGCTGGGGATCAAACTCAAGTCTGTAATTCTTGTAAGACAAACAATTTACTAAGTGAACTATCTCCCCAGCCCCATGATTGGGTCTTATACCACCTTCCTATACTCTCTATACTCAGTTCTGGAGAAAGCGTCAGCAAATGAGAATGGGCACAGTCATGGACCCATTCCCAACATGTATCATGTAACTTACCAGTACATCTCTATCTCTGTCCCATTTTCTTTGGATTGAGACTAACAGACAATATCTGAAGGCGTTGAAAGCCTGTGTCAATGGCTTTTCTCATGGCCACGATGAAATGCCTGGCAAATGCCACTCAGGAAGGACGTGTTTCTCTTGGCCCACAGTTTGAGGGTGCAATACATCATCACAGTGAGGAAGGCACAGGGGCAGAAGCAGGAGGCAGCTGGTCATGTCGCTTTTGTAGCCAGGAAGCAGAAAGAGATGGCTGCTGGGCTCCACTTGTTTTCTCCCATTTGCATACCCCAGGACCCAAGCCCATGAGGTGGTGTGGCCCACATGCAGGATGGGTGGGTCTTCCCATCTTCATTACCATCATCTGGAAATCCTTCACAGACCTGCCCATGGGCCTGCCTATCTTTTGGGAGCTTTTACATCCGGTCAAACTGACAGTATGAACCATCACAGAGATGTCCCATTGGAAGGAATTTCCAGGACTTTGCATGATTGCCTGGGTTGAGATATAGATTTGAGGTGAACTGGCCTTAGCTCTCAGGTCAGACAACCTACAGAGGACACATGTTGCCCTAGCTTGTGACCATAAGGTTTGCAAATCCAAGGCAAACATTGACTTCACACTCACTTTGCAGACACAGCTGGGCTTGAATCTGAGGGCTCCAGAGGAATTGCTAAACTAGTGCAAACATTTCTTTCAAACTCCTCTCCCAAAACTGGACCCTAGGGCTATGGGTAAGGCTGATATCTCATGGTAACAAGACATTATTTCAGGGACAGTTTAGCATGGGGATAAACAACGTGTCTAGCGTTGGCCTCTATGGGTGAGAGGTTCGGCTCTGGACTCGTGGACTCGCTCTGTTTTGATGCATGGTCCCATCATCTGCCAGCTTTTGCTCCCTTCACCTTTTGACCCACAGCAGTTCATCTGTCACGGGAGGGATGATGTTGTCCCTCCTGCATGGCTTGGTGGTGGGATTGGAAGGTTATAACCCATGCATGGACTTAGGACAGCATCTCAATCAGGGACACTATCATCCAATCATACTTACTCAGTGACTATCCCAGCCTGAAGGATTCTTAATATCCAAAGGCTTAGGAGTATCCTGAGTATTTCAGAGTGCTGAGCCTGTGATCAGCCACTTCAGCCACATTTGTCAAATTCAACCTCAGTATGACCATCTCAGTCGAAATTACCGACCATAGGCTGTGTACATCCATGTGGTGTTGGTAGCTTTGTTCTATTGGTTTGTCTTGGGTATTCTGTCTCTATTGGCTCTTCTATATTCCAATCTCCCTGGATATTCTCTGTAATCCTTGCCTCCAAACCCTTCACACTGTCCAGCTACTGTCTTCTTTTCTTAGTGCATTTATTGCATTCCTCAACCCACTCTTGCTTGCTTTCATGTCTCTGTGTCATTGAATTTATTTTCACTGTCCCTAACGGTCACCAAATGGCCAAACTTGAACAATGACTTTCTGTCCTCCCTTATTTGATGTGGTCTTTATAAATTTGCAATGGACTACAAACTCCATGAGGGAAACAAATTTGTCTCACTGTTGATTTCCAGGTTCTTGAAATAGTCTCTTCACATGGTAAGTACTCAATAGGCATGTGTTAAAGGACTAGTCTTAAAATATTAGAGCTGTATCTACTAAAGCACTGCTGTGCGGGGTAGTTTTAAATGTCAACTTGCCCCAACCTAGAATGGGGGGTTGTCTTGACTATCAGTTGACCCAAGCCCATCATGGCGGCACTATTCCCTAGGCAGCAGCTCCTGAACAACGTAAGAACAGAGAAACCTAGAGAAGCAGCAAGCAGGAGTCATGGGTGCATTTGTCTCTTTCTGCTTGGGTGTGGTGCGACAAGGTGATTGAGTGCCTGCCTTGGCTTTCCCTCAAGGATGGACTTGGACCTGAAATTGTAAACTAAGTAAACCCTCTCTTCCCTAAACTGCTCTTGGTCAAGCTGTATTATTACTGGAACAGAAGTAAAATTTGACCTACAATTTTTTTTTCTTCTGGAAATTAATTTTTTTCTTTTCTTGTTATTTTGTTAAATGTTGGCATTCTAGAGTTTGAGTCTGAGCCTTTTCTCTTCTCTTACAGTTTCCAGGGGTACATTTTACAAAATGCTTCATATATGCTAACTACTTCCCCATCTTCATTCTGCTTAAATTAGTTCTAATGTCTTTGGACAATTTAGTCAATTACCCACTGAGTGCCTTGACATTTCCTTGGCATTTAAGAATATATCCAAAATGAAACTGTATTTTTGTGAGACCTTTATATTAAGAATGTGAAATAAAAATGCCCAAATATAATTATCATAAATGTTAATTTGGAGGGCACTTGTGCAAGTGTGGTGATGATGATAAATGAGCCCCTGAACAATATAGAATGACCTAGACAATTCAGAAATGAACAAGTTGAGCATGTGATATGTTTAGTTACAAAAGAGCCACATTCTCTAAATAACTGGTGTGATGTCATCTGATGGTAATGAGATTGGAGTTAGTCAAGGCTCAGAAACTCTCTTTATTGTCCTCAAATCACAAACCAACATGAAACTGTTTGGTGATGATTTATTCTTGAGTTTCGGGGTAAAAAAAAAAATTCCTAAAACCATGCTAGCTTAAAATCTATCATTTAATCCCAGAGTCTCCTTGGTTCTCTGGGATCCAGTAGAACCCAACTCTTTTGAAGTTGACAACAGCAACTTTTGTATACTCCATGCACAGAACAGAGACTAAAACAGAACTCTAAGGAGAAATCTCTTCTCATGTTGTGTTCAAATCCTTGCCACCTTTGCAATTGCTTACTAATGACCCTGTGGCGACTCTGTGGCCTGCCGCCATGTGCTCAGCCCTGTATGGCTCCTATATGTGTACTTCGTACATTGTCTGTGTCAAAGACAAGCTATAGCCATCGTTACTTTAAAAGCTTTATTCTGTGAGGTCTGTGCCTTTGCAGGGGCCCTCTCTACTACAGCCACCCTAGGAATAGCCTCCATGGCTGCAGTGAGAGTTGAGGCCAAGTTCTACCCCACGGTAATGATAAAGCCTAACTTAAAGGTTGTGACTTACTGTGTGTCAAAAGGGGCTTGCAACCACAACCTCAGAATCAGGAAGGTTGTCTCCTGGATGGCAGCTGCTTTGCTGCCTGGTATTTGTCGCCACATGAAAGGTGTTCTGAAGAGGAAATGCATAGCTCCCTCCCCACCTGGTTAGGCTGGCATCTAGAAGAGAATATGGAGCTGCAGAGTTGGATGTGCCCAGTGTATTTCTCTAAATCTAACCACAGATATTCATTCTTCTTTTTCAGGGGAGGAAGAAGAGGTAGGGTGAAAGAGCAGGTAGGTTTAGGAGAACTTACGTTATTCATCTTATGAGGTCCTAAAGCACAGACCACCTATGCAATCATCCAACCCACTCAGTATAACAGCCGTCAGACACAGGGAGCTATTGAGTTTCTGACGTGTGGCCACTCCCACTTTAGATACGCCCTTCTAAAATACACACTGGGCTGGGAAAAGAAGAATGCAAAATATCTTATATTTTATATTGATTTCATGTTGATAATTTATTAAATAAAATGCTAAATATAAATAAAAAAGTAAAATGTACTGTTGGCAGGAATCCTGATATGTGGCTTAGATTATAGCCCCACTGGATCTACCTTGTGGTAGACCAAAGATTTTGAAAATAAGATAAGCAACCCCATTGTAGATTAATATGTCTGTGAAAAATTCAACAAGATTGTCCTGCTGTAAAGAATTTCACATGCGAAGTCTGGAGCCTGTACTATTTCATAACCAACTAGAAACAGTCTGAAGATCACTCCCGAAGGCTTGGTCTTGTCTCTGTGTTCCATAGGCGCCATGAGCAATGAAGTCCTACCCGTGTTTCCTGCGAGACTCTCTCTTCTCTGCTGACTTTGCTTCCTCTTCAGATTAGATCTCTACTTCCTGCCTGGATCACAGCCAGTGACTACTGAATAGTCTCATTGAGGGAACCATCTTCATCTGTCCCCAACCCTTCATCATGTTACTCATAAAGTGATGCACAGAAGGACAGTTCTAGCTGTGTCACTCTCCTCGACACCCCACAGCTCTCTCCATCTCTCTGGCCAGAGTGCCAAGTTCTCATAGGGTTCTCAGGTCAGGGAGGAGTTGGCCCCTGCCTCTCCGTTCCCGGCCACCTCTCGAACCTGACCCTTTCTGTAATAGTAGCCGGTATTGCACTCAACTAGTGGTCAGACCCTTGCAGGTGTGTCCAACTTTCTGTCATTGCAACACTGGGTGGCCCTTGACTGAGTTCACACCTGAAAACTATGCAGCGATATTATGAAGGAAATCTCATGGTTTTCTAATTAAGTTTATGATTTTATGGGCTGGCAAGATGGCTCAGATGTTGAGAACACTTGCTGCTCTTCCACGGGACCTGAGTTTGATTCCTAGCACCTACGTCAGGATGCTCACTATCCTGTAACTCCAGCTCCAGGGGGTCTGACTCTTCTGGCCTCTACTGACATATCATCTCCCCCCCACATATATACATAATTATATATATTTTAAATTTATGATTTTGTGTTGTGTTGGGCCACAGAATAGACATACATGAAAAGCTTCTGAAAATACTGTCTCATATAATCCTTGCAAGGACCTAAAATGAACCACATATAATGGTGCACACCTGTAATCCCAGCTATGGGGAAGCTGAGGCAGGAGGATTACAAGTTCAAGGCCAGGTTGTCTGCTTAGTGAGAAAGGACTGTGTATATAGCTCAATAGTAGAGTACTTGCCTAGCAGCTGTATGACCTTGGGTTTAGTCCTCAGCAATGAAATGAAAGAAGAATTCCCTTAAATGATAGATTTGTAAAGCCAAATATCAAAAGAATTGAAAAATGTGTTCAAAGACACTCAATAGGAGGACATTTGAGGGCTTGAACTTCAGTGTTCCTAATAAAAAAGATGACACCACTTCCGAATGATTGGAATAGGCTTTGTGTTTCTTCCATCCCTTAGTGCTTCTGAGCTTTAGCAGGTGCCGTTTCCTCTGTTCTTTACCCCCTTTCATGATTCACTCACACATCTCTGATACTCAAACGAATCTGTCTGTGGACTTGACCTCTGGGCCTTTTCTACTGTCCATGGTTAAGTTCTCATCTAATAGTAAGTGTACTATGAGGTGGAGTGGGACTTATTGCTCTCCCTTTGTTTCCTACTGGACTAAGAACCATCCTCTGAACTAGGCACTAAGCTTGTCTTACAGAAGATGCTTGGTAATGTATTCTTTCATTTCTCCAGTGGCCAACATGGAATGGTTAAGGAAGACCCGAAATGACCCATCTTTACAGAGTCTACCCTCTAGTGGGGGAGAAGAATTCTGTGTGCTTATACCCTCCCTCTGCCTCTGCTCCCCTGCCGCAGTATTTTGGCGCTCTCCTTACTGTAACCCTGGTCACCAGGGGGGCTCAGTTTACTCTCTTCCAGCCAGATGCTGCCTTCCATGGCAGCCATCTGCTCTCTGACAGTGCCATCCCCAGGTGTGCATCCTGCCAGAAGGGCGCAGTGGCTTGTATTCTTTGTTTACTAACCCCGGGATCAGAGAACACCTTGGCATTGAGCACCTGTCTTGTGAGTGCTGGAATTATTCTCTCCTCATTCATCTCTTCCAGGCTGCCATATATCAGACTTTTTAGCAAAATTGTCTAAGCTTACCAATGACAGGTTGGATGCTGGGCTAGAGACCCCGACATGGTCTTCCATGACAGCACAACTTGCTATAAGCCATGACATCTTAGAAATTCAATTTGCTCTCTGTGAAATGAACAGAGTAGGCCATTCTGAAGTTGACAGTGGTATACATTTCTGTCTCCAAGAATCTCATTAAAACTCTTCAGCAGATACAAAGGGTCTATTCATTCATTCAGTAATTATTGATTGAGCCTTCACTGCATTCCTGGTGTCATCTCGATGGGAAGGAAGCAGCAGGAAAACCATTCTTGAATCCCATCAGACTTGCACTTTGGCTAGAGGGGACCAATGAACAAATGGATCCATGCTATTTTAGATAGATTCGAGAATGACGGAATCTGACAAATGGGGTCAAGTATGTGAAGGGCACCCATGAAAATGGATGGAGATTACTTTACATAAAATGAATGAGGCCATCTTTCCCACATGCTCCACCCTGTAATAGCAGCCTGTGCTTGTCCAAGGACCACATGCTTTCAGAAAGCACCATCATTTGGAGTCCTTGCAAGAGCCTGGAGTGACGGCAGAGGTCTGAAGGCAGCGAGAGCTATTCAGGAGAGCAGCTTCTCCTGCCACTGAGGGTCACATGCCCTGCCATGCATCCCATGAACTTCTTCAGCGTCAGTTATTGCAAACCTGTATCTATGGAAATCCATGTTTTATCCTCAGGATGACAGAAAAGTCAAGGATGTGCTCAGTACTCTTTAATGTCCACACCCTACTCCAGATTTAGGCTATTTATATGTTCTTAGTCACAGGCAATGAAGGATTGGCTAGTATCCCAATAGCACCTTAAACCCAAGTCACAGTCTGTTGAGTTCCAGGGAAGGAGGTGCTTTCATGGCACAAAATCCTCTTCTTAGAAACAGTGTTCCTTTCTTGCCATGTGTCACATGAGCAGTGGTTTAGGGGAGGTGAGTATCAATGTGAAAGACTGAAGAAATGAAGTGTGCTTCTTGCAGCTGAGAAGAAATGAAGTGAACCATGCTTCCTGCAGCTGAGAAGAAATGAAGTGACCCGTGCTTCCTGCAGCTGAGAAGAAATGAAGTGACCCGTGCTTCCTGCAGCTGAGGGCTTCATCTGTACCATCTGCTTTCTTGGTCCTCTGTCACCCACCCCATCACTGAGGTGGGGGTCTGTCATGGGAATGTCACTAACTGACTTGGGCATACTTATTTTTACTTCCCAATCTGTGTCTCATTCCTTCTTTCTTTTCCCCCAGAGGTGTTATAATTAGTTTTAGTTGTCAGCTTGACACAATCAAGACAATCCCCCATCAAAATGCTCGCAAGCCAACCTGGGAAGAGAATCTTCAAGAGGGAGTGTCTAGACCATGTGAGCATGTCCGTGTTGAATTATCTTGACTGTGGTAATTGAGATAAGAAGATTTTCCCACTATGGGTGATACCATTCCTTAGGCAGTGGGATCCTGAGCTATATGAGTGGAGAAGGGCTGAGCATAAGCTTCCATGTGTGAGTTCATCACTGTGTTCTGACTGTGGATGGAATGTGACCAGCTGTTTCAAGCTTTTCCACTGCAACTTTTCTGCCATGATGCATGGAATGTGGAATTTTAAGCCAAATAGACCCTTTATCCCCTAATTTGCCTTTGTCAGTTTTTTTTTTTTTAAATCACAGTAATAGACAAGTGAATGAAGACCGGACATAAAATAAAATGGAACTTCTTATCTAATTTATTTTCAGTTTGCCTTCCCTTTGACCTACATGAGGCTTCTCCATCATTCAAAATAGTGATGGGGAATTTAGAGTCATCTTTAATTCGGTGACATTGACCAACAGATTTACCCTTCAGTTGCTCAGTTGTTCAGTAATGAAGAGAATAGTCCCAGGTTCCAGGTGTGTTTGTCCTGTGACCCTACACCAGAACTCAAAATCAAAGAGAGTGAAATAACACCATGTCAGGGAGAAATGAAGAGCCCAGTGTGTCTTATCCATCGAACAAGCTGTTTGAACAGTCTGGCCCTGTGAGCTTGGGATCACACACACATACTTGGCTAATTTCACAGAGGAGAAGTCACAGGCTCAGCATCTTCTCACTGTGTAAAGGAACACAGTTACCGAATGAGGATTTCCCCATCCCCTTTCACTGTAATGTTTCAGGTGCATTTATTTTTTCTGTCCCCAACAACAACAACAACAAAGTGAGCAAATGACCATCTTACTTTGAGACACCCCTAATCAAGTTTCTACCTTTTAAATCCTCTACCTTAGTCAGCTTACTGTCACCGTTATAAAATACCAGAGAAAAAATAAATTGAAAAGCATGAAAGGTTTATTCTGGCCTACAGTTTTGAAATTTTAGTTCAGGAGCCTATGGCTTTTGTCCCGTGGTGAGGCTGGGAGAAATATGGAAGACGCTGCTTACCTCATGGTAGTCAGAGGAGAAAGAGAGGGTATGTTTGTGTGGACAGATCTCCCAATAGCTTCCTTAAGGGCACACCGTCTCTAATGATGTAATGTCTTTCCAGGAGGCCCCACGTTTTAAAGGTTCCATGGGCCAGGGAACCAAACCTTTAGCACACCAGCTTTTGGGGGACACTAAGATCAAAACCATAGTGATGTTCATAGTTCATTTCTCCTTGAGCCCTAGAATGGAGCAGGTGAAGGTAAATCAGCCGACAGCCATTTTATTTCCCGGTGGTATCTGAGGAGAGAAGGGAACAGTGAAATATAATTAAGTGCTAGGCTGAAATTATGGGGAGATATAAATACTGATGAGCTTGTAAGATGCCAGGTCACACACTGAGCATTTCACTTGTACTATATTTTGTTCTCATCAAAATTCTCTTAGGTAGGGAAATTATCACCCCCAGCCTTCAGATAGGAAAACAGGCAGAAAACGATGAACTCACTCCAAGTTCAGTACTTACTGAGCGGTGGAGCAGGGAAGGAACATGGCTGCCTCCAGGGTTGAAGCTCTGTGTTCCACCACCTCTCTGAGTGGGTCTTCTAGGCCTCGGGATGCACGGCTCACAACAGCACCTTTGACAGCCCAGTTCAGCTTTTAGGCAGATCCTGGATCTTACTATGTTGAAGAAAGGCTGTAAGAAATATCAGGACGCTACAGTAGAGTTTAGCACCTGTAGTTTTTTCCAAAAGCAATGGCATACTTTGTTTTAGGTTCTATTTGTATCTATAAAAGTGTGTGCCCTGTGTGTGTGTGGTGGAGGGGGAGGGCTGGATGTACATTTGTGTGCGTGCATGATCAACTCAAGTTCACGCTTTAGGCGTTTTCTGCCTTGGTTTTTGGGACAGACTCTCTCAGCGGCCTGGGGTTTGCTGCTTCAGGTGGTCTGGTTGGTCAGCCACCCACAGGGATCTGCATGTCTCTGCCTCCCCAGCCTGGGATTATGAGTGCATGGCACCATGCCCAGTGTTTTCCATAGGTACTAGGGACCTAGACTCATGTTTTTATGCTTGTACAGCAAGTAGTGCTTTACTGACTGAGTGACCTCAGTTTAGTTTTTTTTTCCTTTGTGTGCCTGTGGTTTCTCTCATAGAATGGTATTATTTGAATAATAGAAGTTTCCAAAGTTCTGGTCTTCAGGTGGCGTGTGTGATGGCAGTGGATAGAACAAGGTTTGCTTTGATCATAGGTTTCAAGTGTCATTCTGAGGTAACTGGGGTGTGGAAAGGATCTCAGGAGTTGGAAAAAGAGTTGCTTCCTCTGGCTTTATTCTACAAGACCATGAGTGATTTTTGTTTTGGGGGAGGGATGAAACAGCAAAACATCCAGCTTGCCAGATTTAAGTTATGAGTTGTTGAAAACTCACCCCCAGCCCTGGCAAATGTTTGACAATTTCCTGTTCTCTGCTGCTGCCCTGTTATAGAAATTCAGGACAGAAGAGGAATCCTAAATATCAGGGCAGATATTAAACAGGTATGTTTAATAAAGAGACTGACGCACAGCTGATGTGTTTTATGAGATCTGAATGGCTACTTTTGAAAGGAGGATATGTAACAGGAAAGCAGAAGTCCACCATGTACTAGTTCTAAGAAATGAATGTCCTGACTGAAAAGCAACACTAGACATTTTTGCAGTTATAACAGAAAAAAAATACCCACAACCATTCATTTAAACCTGGAATCTGTTCCATACGTAATTAAACTTGGATACTCCGGAGTCTCCTTGGCGAAGTGTATCACTTTGTTCTGGAAGGACCAGTTAGAATGTTTTCTTTTGTTACCAGTTTCTTCACATTTGGAGGCCAAAGTTCAGAAATTCATTAAGTTGAGTAAAAGCAGACTAAGGAAGTGGATTCCCCGCTCCTTGGTCAAATAGACAATGGATATGTGGGGTACACATTCTTTTTATGTTCTAGCTTCTCCGGAGGTTAGGGAACTGGAAGCATGAATTTTTTTAGTTCTGTGTACACCCAGAGCATCTGATGCTGCAGATGATGATGTGTAGGTATTTTGGCTCAGGCAGGCACTTGTAGGATCTGGGGATTATCACAGAAGCCTGAACACAGGCTATAGCTCAGGCTCCATGCTGCGCACTGAGTGGAGAAGCACACAGAGCTCCACACCACTTTCTCCATGGACTAGCTACTTGACAATTTCAGACAGAATGAGTAAGGACTTGGCAAATGTTCTGATGTTGTGGTGTTGTAGTCTGATGAGATTGTCTCTCAGGGGCCAGTGAGTATGTTGGACTCCTCAGGGGATTCCCCATAAAAGCATGGGGGCATATGTTCATTGTCATTTCTTCTAAAGGAAAGTGAGAACTTGAGTAAATTAATGAGCAAATGATGAAGATTACATCCATGGTGTGGACCTCTTTCTGCATGGGGTGTGGAGTCACAGTGGCAGATCTGGTACACTGTACAGATGAGATGATATGACATTACCATTCATTCATTCATTCATCCTGTTTGCAAGAAATCTATATTGATATGGACTGATTACTGTATTTGAGTCCAGGACTATAGAAGTAAACAGGCAGAAACAGACGTGAATGTCTAGTATAGAAGACAAGTATCAAACAAATACTATTTTCAAAATGATTCTGTATTTGTCTTTGATGATTAGTACTAATTGTCTTATCAACAGGATCTAGAGTCACCTAGGATATAGGGCTCTAGGCACACCTGTGATAGATTATCTAGATTAAGGTTAGCCTCTGAGAATATCTGTGAGGGATTATTTTTCTTTTTATTAAGAGATTTTCTATTCATCTTACATATCAACCATGGATTCCCCTGTCTTCCCTCCTCCCACCCCCCCAGCCCACTACCAATTTCTACCTCCTCCAAGGCAAGTTCTCCCATGGGGAGTCAGCAGAGCCTGGTACATTCAGTTGATGCAGGTCCAGTCCCCTCTTCCCTGCACCAAGGCTGAGCAAAGTGTCTCGGCATAGACACTAGGCTCCAAAAAGCCAGCTCATGCACTAAAGACAGGTCCTGGTCTCACTGCCTGGGGCCCCCTAAATGGTTAAAGCTAAACAATGTCTCACTTATTCAGAGGGCCTAGTCCAGTTCCATGGGGGCTCCTCAGCTATTGGTTCACAGTTCATGTGTTCCACTAGTTTGGGTAGTTGTCTCTGTACTTTTTCCAATCATGGTTTCAATATCTCTTGCTCATATGATTCCTCCTTCTCTCTCTCTCTCTCTCTCTCTCTCTCTCTCTCTCTCTCTCTCTCTCTCT